GAAGGTTCCGAATCTCCCCAAAAACCCTTATTGAAAGTGTAAATTAACATCTTTTCATAGTCATTAATGGCCCACCCGCAAGCGTAATTCAGTACTTTGACAAGCAGCCGCCTTTATGGGTGAACCTCATTGAAGCATTTCTTCCATTGATGGTCAGCACCCAACGCGTAAACACTAATTTCGTCGCCCTCCGCTAATGCAGTAGTGGTTGTGTGAACATCTATTTGGCTCTACTCTCCTTCAAATTAGTAATCAATAAGGCTGCTATAGCTTTGAATCAGTAATACATAAAACGTAAGGGCCAATAAAGAATTGATCAGTTATCCAGCTTTAAAGCTTGGGATAAATTGAACATTAACTGTTCCAATACGAAATAACTTTTTTTCGAAAGGCTAAATGATCATTTAAATTTGTCAGCTTTGCACAAAAAAAGGTGTATCGTTGTCACCTATATCTTGCAGACGGTTACAAAGATGCATGGGCAATGATGACGGAAGAATCACAACGATAAGCATTGAGTACTAATTGCACCAATACACGACCTCTACGTCACATGTTAAAATAGGTTACATAGAATTTCACATCACTGAATGGTTCTTAGATCTTTGGAAACGGCAACAGAGTTAAAGTGTAACACTGCCCCAAAGCGACTCTCGCTTACGACGGATTTCGTTAATAAGGCAGTAACAAACCCTTCTTGTATTACTTATAATGAAGAGATTTCATATGCAACAACTTTACCATATAGCGTTATAGAACGGAACTCATGTGCTTCTACAACCAAACCTTACCTTGACACCGCAATACCATGAGCCCAACGTGGATTAATTTGAACTCATTGGTGGAGACCGAGGTCGGCCAACATGACTGATTTCAATTCATAGCGTATAAAGAAGTGAACGATAAAGTTCTCGACGTCGATCAATCCTTGAGGGATACGTCGTGTATTCGACTTCTTTAAGTATAGTTGGAGGTGACAGAATGCATATCCGACCTTTACAATGATTCATGGTGGCCTGCCGATGTATCAGCCAGTGCTCCTATCCTCCCAGACCACTCTAGTACCAACTTATTCAGCCTAGAGGGATGGAAGGCTTGATGAGGCTGGGGAGGGGATCAATCCTATGTGTACTGCAGAGCGCCTACGACGACTGCGCTACACGCACCTTTTTCAGGAAAAAAAACCCATAATATTAAAGTTTTCACAATTAGAAATCCAATTACAGAGAAAGTATTAAGGTACCATATAACAAAGAAAAAAGCCTCAAAAGTTGTGGATTGACAGCATTATTCTACATGTTACGTGGACGAAACTACGATGGACCATTGAAGTAGGTTCCACTGCGCCATCCCTATCTCTGAAAAACAAACAACGCCCATGAGTTTTTTAATTGACACAATATGTTAGCTTAATTACTATGTCTTACTCTTAACTCATAACACATTCGAAACAACGCCTAAATCTTCGGGATTCATAACAAGAATCAGACGTGACTTCTATCGGTAAAATCACAATTTCATCCGGACAATAAGCATTAAATGGCCGTAGTACCCGTGTATTTCCGTCTTTGCAACGGAGACGTCTCAGTATCCTCGTAATCAGAAAGATTCCCTCATTAAGAGACCTAGTTAGACGAAAAAACGAGCGAACGAAAAAGAACGAGACGGTTCTTTATAAACTACGACGTGTAGAAACAGGTTTTCTCGGCTAAGCTCCAACTTAGCATAGTGACGGTGAAACTACTGACTCAATACAAAGAAAATGCTTACACAGGAGAAAGAACAACCTGAAAGAAAATAACACACGTCACGAAAATCGCCCAAAGTACCTCGCTAAGTATGTCCTTCATTACCAATAATGAGGTGGACGTATTAAGAGAATAAGATAAGAAATAAAACGAGAGTGTTGCTGAGATATCTGCAATAGTCCAGACCACAAGTTTCTTCGGTGGGGAACAACCGCGCTATTACCCTTTCCAGGGGCTAACGAATTCACCACCACATCATGCGAGTCCTTCGTTCCATCTTTCTCCCAGCTAGTTTTCTATCTTCTATAAGAAATCGAATAGAGAAAAGAGGTAACCTAGCCCAAGGCACAGCACGGCTGGTTAAGCATGGCTACCCTTGTGACAAAAAACGGTAAAGATAGCACCATACAAAAACAGTGAGATATTCTTTGTGTAATTCGAATGAGCGAAACACATTGGTTGGTTTTATGGTGTCTAAGGGAATGAAGACTTTATTGTTGCCCACTCTATCTACTGAATAATTGCTGGGACTATAAGATGTCAGACTAAGAAAACGACTAAATAAATAAAGTTACGGTTGAAAAATCCGTTGAGAACTTGCGAAGAAAGGATATGGAGAGGAAAGATCGAAATTGGTACTATGCTATAGCCTAAGGTTTTCAGTACGATAACAGCAGGTGGTAAGCTCTAGAATACCTGAGGAGTGATGATGTCCTCGAAGCGCATGGCACTCAGTAGCCTACAGGTTGTAGATGTCCTTCGTCGCTGACTGAAATGAGACGATAATCTGATTCAAAAATCAACTCCAGTGGAAAAAACAACCAGATGGAAGGAGTGGATCCACAAGGACATGTATAAAATGAGGGAAGGACATTACGGTACGGACCTACATTTTATTGCAGTGAATACAGTTCTTCTCTCCTCTGACTCCCACCTTTTTCAATGGCAAACAATATTCTTCTAATTCCTTATATTTTTGTTGAGCAAACACGAAGTTTTGTTTTATCTAGGTGGAAGGCTGAGCAGTCAACTTGACCTTTCCAGCCTCTGAGGAAGGCGAAATCCGCCGAAACATTAGCTTGTTTGTGAATAAAGAATAAAACGACACCTCGTGTTCGCTCAATAAGGATATAAAGGGTATTCTTCTGTCCGAAGATGAGATTAAGACGTCTAGCTGGCAAGTCTATAAAGGTTTAAGACATAATCGACGGTTTATTAACTAACCTGAATTTCAATATTTCATGTTGCTCGGCGATGCTACCTTCCACGCTCTGTTGTTGACAAAAGTACACGTGCAGAAATTCCGACTGAAATCAACAGTTTCAAGATCAACACCAACAAGGAGAAACGCTATTCAGCCAGGCTCTTTAGAGAAATTACAGCTATACCACAAAAGCTTATATGACGACAGCAACAAGACAATGCTGGAAAACCTCTCACCCAGATGACATCATCGCTAGATGAGCTGTGCCAAGAGAACCTAATCATCAGATGTCATTCAAAGGACCTACGTCATTCATAATAATGAATAAACATTATTTTCGTCGAATAATCGATGACTGTACTCGGCAAATGGTGCTCTATTTGCAAATAACTTGCCAACGTACTGCCCAATTAGGGAGGTCGCGGTGCGGTTGCGTCGCAGTCCTCTTGCCGGACGGGCTTCGCTCTATTTTCTTTTTTTTCTAATCATTTTTGGAAACATTCTAGCTATCTTCTTGTTCTTGCCGTACATGTGTAGCTCTTCTACCTAGGTGGTGCAAGATTCCCGTAGATAAAGTCGGTTGTGGTTCTGTCTGGGTGGCCCTCTACCCTCATCTGGGGTCCTCCACAGGTTCTCCACACTTATTGACATAATTCGACGTGTTTGCAGTGGTCGTTCCATGTTTTTCTTGTTTCCCCGTGCAACACTAAAATTGCGGGTGTTCCTTGTGTTTTGCAGCTATCCCAGTTTCTGAATGGAACGCCTTTAACGACGTAAATTGTCTGTTTCTCGTTGTTCAGTTCTTTACGCATCATAATTCCTCTTTGTCTTGTTGTTTACGTAAAATAGACACCATAATTATTTAATTCTGTTTGCAATCCTCAGCCGCTGTCGGTATTTCCTATTCGAAAATGCTATCATTTTGATAAAAACTGCAGTCCTTCCAACGGTTTACTGCCTTGTCGTGGCTCGGAGCAGTTCCTGGGTGTCGTCTACGATGTACAGCGGGGATTCATCCCTCTGCTAGGTTCTCCCAAGCCGAGAATGAGTCCAACTTGGGAAACTTTTGCGTGCTTCTCTTCCACAATGACTTTTCTCAAAGTATTTTTGGAACGGTTTACTGTCATCGACTTTACTGCTTCCATTCTTTTAAGGATGTTGAATTTTTGTATTTTGGAATTGCCATTACCTCTACCGACTCGTTCTTTCTAAGAATCTCAGTCCTCCCAAATGCCATACCACAAATCTCTTGATGCCGTCTGTCCGTTCTCTTCAAACCTATTATGTATTACTGAATACTATATGCATAGTCTTTCCTTAAATATGTATGTACTGTGTTGTCATTTTATTGTTAGGAATGGAATATGAGCGCAATAAATCAGTGCTATCAATGGGAAACGATCCTTTTCATTTGGATATCCTGCCAAAACAATGTTTGCCCATTTCCTTAGTTGTTCTTCACATGGTGTGCCAGAATTCTCTCCTGATCGTTGTACTCATTGAGGTTGCAGTGTAAACAACGGAGTCTGTTGAAGCCCTGACATCGGCTGATATTTTTTACCTGTAAACATGTGATATTGTTGGTCAAAAATTAAGAAGCTCATGGAGATCGATGTTCACGACTAGACCTATGTTCCCAAGGACATCATTTGGTTCGCCTCAGTAGATTCCTGATGGAAGCTTTCGTTCCTTGTACGCGCAAATGATCTCCATATTCCTTCAACAATTCTGGAGAATACAATCTGCATACGCACTAGCACACAAGCGCGCCAGCATGAGTATGTCCACTTACACAGGGTAAGTTAACGTGGAGCAGGAAGAATAGAGAGTTCATTCCCTTTAGTCTTCTCTTGCCTGGGTTTTCGGATGCAAATGTCGAAATCTTTCCTATCTTGTTAAACTGGCACAACCCACAGCCAGATGCCCACATCCATCATCTGGTAACGTTGAGGATATTTGAGGTTTTCCTTCATTTATCTACAATTTTCGTCGAGCTTACATTTGCTTAGTATCGTCGGAATGTGGAATAACGTTCAGCTAATTTTCCAATGTTGTCGATTATCTATTACCGTGTCATGAGAACGGATTTTAGAATGGGCATGGTTAAAGAGGACGGTGATGGATTAGCGGAAAGAGTAGAAGAGGATGAATCTCACAACAGATCGGATATCTGTCGTAGTTTTAAAGTGATTAAGGTACGTTCATTAATTTGTCTTATTGTAGTTTTGCTTAAAATGTATATTTTCGGTTCACCAATGAAACGTTCGTGGCTCGTGGCCTATAACTTTGAATATAAGTCTGTTAGATGCGTTTCAAAAAAAAATATATTATACATTTTCGCCTGCATTCCATGTATGCTCAAGATTTTCGGTATTAAAGCGCTCATGTTGACGTGAATTCACTTCTTATGCTGTACAAGCTCTTCTAGAACATTATCCTACCGCACATATCAAGGACTTTGGGTGGACCTAAACCAGCTGTGCAAGCAGTATATTGGCCCGGATTCTGGTGCTTGTATAGCACCCAAAAATGATCCATAGCACATCGCAGAAGTGTAGGAGAATGAAGCTCCTTAATAAACGCCTTATAATGTCAGCATGTTAAGCTTGCGTTCACTGATATAGACCACAACATTGAAATAGTTAGCCACCGTGCTCTAGATAATGACTTCGAAAAAGGCACATACGTCGGTGAAAAATCTTATTACACAATTTTTTTGATGACTTCGGCGTAATTCCAACTGAACAAATTCTCTGCAGAGTCCTTGGAGAATGTCTTCTGAAATTTAACCAGTATGCAATACTTATGCGGTCCACGTAATTTAGATAGAAAATTATTTCGCCTCTATAATGGAAGAGAATATGGATCGAAAGTAGAACTTAGATAGTATAGCGTGTGGTGAGAAATGTAGACAATAGCAGGGCAACAGAACTATGCAGTGGACCTTAACAATAAGATGTAATCCTCTTCCTGGGCGATCACGTACATGATGGCAGGGCGCGTTTTTGGCTCACGTTATCCATTCGCAACGAGATTCTCTTAGATGTAAACGATTCGTTTGCAGAGTTGCAATGGTAGAATCACTATGCATTAAACCGACCGTCATTAATGGGAAAAGCGATCAAAGCACAGAGATGAGAAAAGTGCTAGTATGAGCATGGCTTAAGACGAGGTATCGAAGTGTACAAATATTGCTGCAAGGAAAAGTGAAAATGACGAGGTGTCTGTTGAACCTTTTAATGACAGATTTATCTGGTTAACTGTATGGTGAAGCGTAGCAAGATTTCTCTTATTTTCTTCCAGTACATCATCCTAGTGTGAAATGAGTCGAACAGAAAGAGGTGGAAATTGTAGTCATATTACTGTGAGCTGGACTATTACTCTGACTACTTAGGAAACAGTGAAAATATTCATCCCTAAAATTAATATTGATTACCTGTCTAAGAGTTAAGATTTCAGTCTGAGCCAATCGATGACTACGAAGAGGACAGTGAATCGGTACCTCCTCGTGTGAAGCATAAGCGTCAATGTGCCGAGGTCGCAATGAAGAGAATTAAACTGGAAATTCAACCTTCGCAGCCTGATGGTGTTAAGGTAAATTTTTGATTGCAGTTTTCTTTTACTGATATACGAAGTTTAGTTAATGGAACACATATTATCAGATATTGAAGAGTAGCTTTGCTTATAACGTTTGCACTGACAAAGTTTTGTTAAGGTAAAGCACCGTTAGATGTTGTAATTTCGAGCTCTGTCATTAATAAAATGTCAAGCCAAAATGAATGTTTCTATTCCTGAGCATAGTGCTTTATTAGCTTTTCTAAATTTATTGATAGAACATTTTTCTACACAGGTGTTTTCTTGCGTTAAAATATTTACAAAAATACAGTCATTTCATCTTCATCATCCGATAACATAGAACGTTATAGCTGTTATTAATCTTAAGGATTAGACGAAATAGTGTTACATTAGAGATAACTATCAACAGATTGTGTGTAGACCCGCGCAAACGTTCTGTTATCATTTTGAGCACCTTTTTTTTTCCACAGTTTTTTATTCTATGATAAATCTGTTGTGTGCAACTATGTTCAATTTCTCTTCATTCAAATTATTGTTTTTTCTACAACTGCGACTTTTTGGTAGCTCAAGATTTTCGAAGTATATTTATATGTGAAATACAACCACAGTGACGCCGAGATATTTGCAAAACTCTGTACCGCAGGTGTCTACGGTGGGGAACGAACGCATTGTTACGCTTTCAGGGGCTAACGCGTTCACCACCGCACCATGCGGATCCTTCGTTTCGCCTGTCTCTATATCTTTATGTAGTCTTACGAACTGCCCTTGTTGAGCTAATGCGAGGTTGGTATAAGTTGCCATCGTTGTTGTTACTGTCGTTCGATGGCTGACGTTTCGGCGATTTCGCTTTCCTCAGAACCTAGACGTATGTAACAATAGCGTTATAATTCGCTGAATTATCTATAGTATTAATAAAGATCTAACATAGGTATAAAAGTCATGGGCATGAAGTCGGTTTTTGTTCTCATCACTGGACCTTCCGTACTCTCTTAAGCTCTTCAGGCCGTTCGTTTCCTCTTACTCAACTCTGATGGTAAGTCCTTCATCGTTGCGACTTTTCCGCCTAGAGACACATATCTATTTGTTCCGTTAAGTGTTAATGAGGTATCGCAAACAAATCCGTTATTCATGAACATCTTGCAACCCATGTATGGGATTCATTATCGAGTGAATGTAAGTCATATTGAATGTCTTTCGAGACCGTACATGGTGCCACGGCTGTTCTATTGTCTTATCGATTCTTCTGAGGATAACTTGAGTAAAGAATTTGCTGATGAAACGCGATAGAAGTATAGGACAACAATTGCCGATTTTGCTTACTTATCAAAGCAGTTGGGTTCCGCGTATATTAAGCACTTTGCTTTACCTTTTAGCTGCTCTCTTTGGAATTGTTTTGATTCTGTCAGTGTGTACTCCACGGTTCGTTACGTTCACCTATCACCTCATCCCATTATTCCAACAGAACAGTCCATGCTTATTTTTTAAAATGCATTGTACTAGGTCTCGAATACGCGATATTGTTTCAAAATTTAAACTACGGAGACTGATTTGTTGTTGAGTGATCTACTTCGTTTTCAGAAAGTAAAGCACGAGCATGTTTATTCTGCTCAGTTTCTCTGACATAACCAAAGTGCTCTGCCGCATAACAAGAAACTGAAACAACTGTTGAATCGAATAGGGGTAACGTAGACTGCGGTCAAAAGCTGAGCAGTGACCTTTGAAAGAGGCTCAAGTGCGAGCTTTACTGCTCATTATCTTTTACCGAGTTCTCCTCGTTAAGTCCTTATCCAAATGTCCATTGAATGTCCTGGGAATACGTACGATGCGGTCTTCTCATTTGCCAATCCATACAGTAAATCTGTTCTCCAGCAAGGGATTCTTCACAAATCGAGTTTTTTTTTCCGATTTTCTCCATTCGTGTTCTAATTTTTCCCCACTTTTTCATTGAGATCTTTACGCATTGTCTCTGCTTTTGCGACGGTTGTTCGAAAATAAGGTAGAGTTGTCGACAAACTGAATGTTGGAGAGGAGTTGTCCATCAGTACATCTCCATTTTTATCGTCTCATTTGAATGGCTATATCGGAGTGATGAATAGGTTTGCCGATATTGTGTGAACCAATGGTATTTCTCTGTTAAAAAGCAATCAGTGCTTTTGAGGAAGCTCTGTTTTCACTGTACAATGACTATGGCATTCAGCAAACATTTTTATGGAAAGCGTGGCTGTGCCGTTGTCAACTACTCCAGATAGGATTACGTTTACTTCCGGTCTCTCAAATGCTTTCTCGTGGTCAGCGTAAGTTAGGAAAAGTACGTGATATTTCGTTCAGACCTCTACGATTCTCAAGAGGATTTGGATTCGTTCCATGCAAGCCAATTCCTTGCGCAGATCAAGTTTTCGTGTAGGTTGTGTTCCATCCAAGTTCTTCGAGATTCATCTTGGTCATGAAGAACTTATAGAGCACTCCGAATAAGCTGATCTTACAGTATTTACGAGGTTGCGTGAAGTTCTCCATTGTTTGCGTATCAGGTTCATTTGAGAATATGGTGGCTTTCAACGCATACAAGATCAGGCGAAATATAGAGCCTTTGCAGGGAGGTTCGTTGGAGGTGTTCCTCCAGTGGGCACGATGAGGTCTGGTAGAGGTGTTGTGGATTTAAAGAAGCTTGCACAGAATTTCTTGTCGTCGACTAAGCTTTTTATTTCAATTTTATTTTGTTTTGCATGGTTCCATATCACACATTGTGCCGTTCTCAACACTTCTTGCGATCGATTCATTTCCTCGTAATCGCAACGTTCTTGCACGAAAGTCTTCGAACTTTTCGCATGTGGGTTCGTCTGCTATTTGGGAATTATCATCTTCTTTATGAATGTCATTGACTGTTGGTCGAGTCTGTTATCTCTGAAGTCATGAAATAGCTGGGTTAGAGCATTAACACATGGACTGCTTGGAGTGGACTGCTACGAGACAGGTCTCGTACCAACTTTCCGACCTTGGAGTGATAAGAGGGTGAGCCCAGTGCGGGATCGAACCAGCGGCCCATATTGTTGAAATGTGTTCCTAGCAGTGCGCTTTTCGCGTATATATATGCGTACATTTATACTACATGTACGTATGTAATGTATGTAGTATCAACATATGTATATGTACATAAGCAATATGGCAGTCTTACCTAAATTTGTCAAGTTATCGGATTCTAGGTTATATTACTAATAGCTATCGAAAGATACCACCCAACGCTTTACCGCCTCATCGTGGCTGTGTCGGTGTACTTGGGTGTCGGACTGCGATGTACAGCGGGGTATTCATCCCCTGGCAGGGTCTCCCAAGCTGAGAGCGAGTCTGGCATTTCCATCAGGAAGCCTAACTAAGAGTAAGCCAATACCAGGATCTACCACCGTCCTGGTATCAAATTCGTTTGGTGGTAAATTTTCTTTTGATCCACAAGTGCTGCGACTGCCTGTTGTGGTGAAGACTTGAAGCAGACTTTGGGCAGGCTGACCTCGGGACTTTAGGGAACCAGATGGCTTAACCAGCAAATCGCCGAGAAATGAATATTATGCTGGGGCCCGCACAACCAGTGAGGACGGGCCACTCAACTATCAGGTAAGTGAGTAAGTATCGAAAGATAACCGACAGTTGTGAAAATTTGTAAGTCCAATTCCAAGCGTTGCATATAGGAAAGTGTTGTTGCCAAGTGTATGAAATGTGAATAACAATCCTGGTTTAAAAGTTTTTGCCATCTTTTGGAAATTTGATCCATTTATAGGACAGGAAGAATGGCGGAGATTCACGAGAAGGTTCATGTGAGCGTAGCGACTGCGCTCTCCAGAAATCATGCTCCTTGTCAATTAATTCTAAGTAAGTCTTTTCGTTTTTTTTAAATCAGGGTTTTTAATTTGTAAGCTGTGAATCCACTGGTTTTACCATTTCAGCTGTTTGAAGACATTGACAGATGCTTGTGGAAAAAATTTCTACCACATTACCAAGGGCGAACATGTGTGCGGAGTGTGTTATGATGACCTCTGGAAATTGTGAGGATTTTTTAAACTAGGTATCTACAAAAGTATGTCTGAGACCTTGTATCAAGCGTTAATAAATTTGGTGGTTTTGTTCTCTCATTGCTTCGACGTAGTATAACTATGACAAGGGTTGCTCAAAGCTTTGAATTTTTCGTGCTACTTGGGCGTAGTAATCAAAGGTTTTCGTTCATAAGACATTTATTATCCGAAGTCCTTACCCAGCTGATAACCGGTTCTTTTTCCAACTGCTTGGTTTCAGTGGCCATTCTTATGCTCAAAAGTTTGCTGAGTGGAAGATAGCTTGGTGCAAGATGAGTCGCTGCTTTCCAACCCCTAGATTCTTTGTTCAGGTCTACTACGAAGAACTTAGTTATTTTCAGATTTATCCGAAGATTTTTAGGAAGAATATGCTATTCTAGGATCAGTTATTACCTTACTGGTTAGAATGTCCTTTGTGCAAGAAATTTCGAAAGCTCGATCTTGATCCGATGGTGGTAATTTCAACTTCTGACATAGAGAACTTCCGTTGTATTGATTGCAGCATTCCAGAAGATAAGGTCTGACTTAATTTAACAGTTCACCTCTGCAGTAATATACACCGACAGGACAAAGATTACAGCTCGCTACTGATGCTCGTCACCCTAATTGGATTCTGTCAGCATCTGTCGCTCCTTTGCTACACAATTCACCTTCGCTACATTATTTACGAGATCATTACTATCTGGATGAAGTTGGTGTAAGCCCTACCGTAGCTAACTACCCATATTTGACTGGTGAGTTTATTCTTTAACATTTATTTCTTTCTTACTTTTTTGTTGTTATGAATTATAACACACGAAAAAGCCCAACTGTGAAGCGGATTTCACGCCAAGAAAATAGCGCTATTCTTTGAGTGACACTGTAGCTGTCACGACTTCTGGCGAAATCACGCAGGCAAAATTAGATTTCGTCCACCGCGGGCGCTGAACGTAATTTAGTGTGAAGCTCACACATCTATTAATGGATTGGAGACGACGCCTATCTTTCCTGTCTGTCGCAAGGGCCGACGCCTAATTTTCAGCCTCTGCGACTTTTCTGGTTGTTTAACAATAAACAGTAATGTATCGGACACTACAGGACTTGAGCGGTCGTGAACATAGCAGGTTTTAAAAAAGATATTGCTCTATCGTTCTGTGGCTATGAGTGATATGTATGCCACTACTTCCGCTGTGTTGCGATGGTCCGTTATATAAAAGACATTCCTGTAAGCACATGAGACGGTTTTGAAGCTTTTGTTGTCTACGTCGGTGTTTTTTATAGCCAGAGATTCCATAATATAGCGATCATTCATAGTATTCACTAAAAATAAATAGTAGTTGATTGTTAGTCAAGCTTACCTGCTTTTCAATCGCATAATAAAGTTTTTGCCGGCCTCATGCGTACCACGAAATTTATGTCGGATAAGCTACTGACTGATTATAAAAAGTATAGGAAAAGGATTCAGTGCACGAAAACAAACCGAATTGGGGAAGGGAATGACAAATACCGCGAAAATTGGAAAAAAAATTGTTCTCAGTTAGCGCGTACTGGCCATTGGGAAAGCGCTGCATGAACACTATGGTGTCAATATCGTCACGAATGTGTCAACACATACTCGACAGTTCTGCGTAGCTGCAATATGGCACGACTATTTTTTTTCCGTGCACGGTATGCATTGAAGTCGATTCTAATTCTCTTTCTTTCTCTATAATCTATATTCGTCCGTACATACATCCGATAACGTAGTGGTATTGATGAGGTTTACCACGAGCACGGTTCTGTTTCGAACCCGTTCTGGGCTTACCAAACCTCTCATCCTTCCGGTGTAGCGGTATTGGTGCCAACCTTTCTGTGAAAGTCCGCTCTCTACAATCCAGTGGGGAACGTTCTAGCCCGGTTATCCCAGGTGTTTATGGAGAATCGACTTGGTCAGTATTCATGGACATTCATAAAGAAAACGACAATCCTCAAACAGTCGTAGAACCCACAAGCGAGGAATTCGAAGACCGTTATGAGTAATGGTTGCGAGGAAACGAATCAAATGGAAGAAGTGGTTGGATCTGCACAGTGGATCTGGCCTCTGATCGTGTGAAATAAAACAAAATTACAAACGCACCCCATCTAATCACAGCAGCTTAAAGTATTTTTATACCCTCAAAGACATATTCTATTTAAACATTGTGATGAGAGCGCACGCCTATATTAGTGTCAAAATATGTTAATATCCTCCTTACCAGCGACAGTATCTGCTACCAGATATCTTAGTGTTCTGTTATCTTGAAACAGCTTTCGCACAGAAAGAATGAAATTCTACGAAGACCATTGTTTTGTAAATTGTGATTCATAGAGAACATCTCACAATAGACAGCACGTGATACGGATTTTGTGGTGTGCAAGCATATAAATAGAGTACAAAAAGTGTAGCAAAAACTCCGTGCAGCAGGACAGCTGCGAAGAAAATGTATAATCGTATCAAAACAAAAGACCTCTGTGTATGCTTGAAGTTTCTATTTATTATAACTCATGTAGCACTCCCTTCGTCATCGTTTATGGCACCGTTTCATATTCCCGAAGAGCCAATGGCTTTCTGTGTCCGCCCAGATGTGATGGAATATGATGAAGTGGTAAGCAAAAAGTAGTACTACTATTACTTTTTATGGTTACTCTAGTCTCATTATCGTTACACTGTTTGGTCCTATAGTCCTTTAGATTTTATCAAGTTTTGGTTTAGAAACGTTTCCCTCAGTATTCTGCTGAGCCAATCATCTATCTTGGTTTAAGAAATCACATTATCTCATTGTGGAATATGAACCCTATTGTGAGTTTCACTTTCCTTTATATTTCAAGCGTCATTCTGCCAAATTTTACTGGAATACACGTTCAGGAATACCTCACATTAGAGTACTGCAAAAACCATTTGATTTCTCGTGGGTTATGTCGCGTATGGCAAATTCAAGAGTTGAGGAAGATATATGAGTATCTTAATATGAAGTCGATAGTTAATATAGGCCTTGTGAAAGTACCAGCACCTCTCGTGACGAAGTTCAGAGTAGGTCTCGTCTTCACTCTTCCTATGTTGTGACGTCTGTTGTTTCTCCATAAGCTTTGTTTGCTTTATGGATTGTTGTGTCTTCTTAAGCGTTCTCCAAGTGTGATTGTAATTGGAGGGGGAATTAGTGGACTGGCGGCTGCCCGTCAATTGCGCTCATTGGGAACCAAAGTGATTTTACTGGAAGCTAAAAACAGACCAGGAGGCAGGATGCATGTGCGTTTTATCCACTGTTTAAAATTTCATCTCTCTGGAAATGTGAAATCCGAGTGTTTCAGGATGACTTAAGTCTTGGAATTCCCGTTGGTCGGGGTGCTCAACTTATCACTGGTATGATCAATAACCCAATCGTGATAATGTGCAACCAAGTAATGTCATAGGACATACTATAGCGTCCGTTTCTGTTGGCTTTGAGGTAATGTGTTTGGATTATGTTTGGTTACAGGCGAATATCAGTTACCGTCCTCTACACCGTGAATGTGCCATGATGGACTCGGTTTTAGGGAAGGTTATGAATCACAGGGTAAGTAGTTTAATTCACTAACTGCGGCCAACTTGACTGTTTAATCTATTTCACTATTTCAGGTTGACAGAATAGCTGATGAACACTGGAATTGCATCCATGACATCCTAGGACACTGGCGTTCACATACAAAAGGGCCTGATCGCAGTCTTATGGGTCAGTTTAATATGACGTAAGATAGCATACTCGATTAGTTAATTGCGTCAAAGGTCGTAAGAATGAATTTTTGCTAACTTTTAGAGCATCAAGCATGGTAGGTGAAGGTTTGTTGTTTAATTCTGTGAAATATTTATTAAATGGCTTCTCATTGGCGACAAAAAATATCATTAATTTCTTTGGATACGTTTTGAGGAGTGATGTGCAAGGATATCCGTTGTTCTGTTACTTTTTTCAATAATAAATAAAAATGAGCTAAAAAACTAAAAGACATCAAAAATAAAAATAAACTAAAGGACTAAAAAAAACTAAAAATAGAAATAAACTGTGCAGCAAGATGGTAATGTTGATTTGATTTGATGGATTATTTCTTATTTTATAATTTAATGTTGAAAGGAAAGTAATTTGTAGAGTTGGTCGGTAAGAGTCCAATTTTTATTATGCGCACGCCGTAATTGTTGTTTTTGTTAACTTTAATGGTCTCCCACTGTTGGCTGTTACGTCTAGTACTATTTGTAGTGTTATCTCTTTGATTGCCTATCCATTCATCTAGTTTTTGGTCAGGTCGTATGTAGCCCATACCTACTTCGTGATCATATCTCTCTTATCTGTTGCGTAACCAATCAATCGTGCTGCAGACGGCAAGTCACATTGTATCGCAGTGATGTTCATTTTACTAACATTGTTGCCATTGATACTATCAGTTGTTATTCAACCGACCCTTGAAGTCGAATGCTATTGTCACGTGTTTTTCGTTACTGAGAGCTCGTTTTCATTCTTGTATTGATGTTATTTTTAGTTAATATTCGTTGTTTTGCCTTAAATTTGTGTCTCCGGTAATGTACCATGTGTTGAAGTTTGTTTCAGGGGTTAAAAATGGCAATGCCTCGACGTCCTGACCAGAAAAAAAGGAGAAGTGGTGGTTTTGGTGGGATAAATTTCAACAAACTTTTAGGAGGCTCAGGTGCCTCCACAGTTGATCTTTTTGTCGTTGCCGTCGTATCAGTTGTTTCAACCTTCTTTGTCATGCGCTTCTTCGTCTCTCAACCTGCGACTGTACAGAAGTTACAGTTTGTGGGTAAACTTACATTTACTTTTAAACACTAGACATATGTGCTTCTATGGAGTTTACGAAATGTCATTTGCTTCAGGTCTCCACCTACAATCACACTCAGCTGTATAAAGCAAGGATTTTAGATAACAAGGACATAGAGTTTGATTTCCTGCTAGTCTCTGATCTGGATCGCGAAAGTAAGGTATCAAGCAAGTTATGGCAAAGTCTGACGAAACGCGGCATTCTGCGGATTAGCGCAGATCGGGCGAAAGCGTTTGTAGAATGGAAAACAGACGGGGATTTTTTCCTTAACACGTAAGTTTTCGGTGTAAAAAGTTTTAGTTCTTAATCTCTACTTTTAACCTATTCGCGACTGATGCTGATTTTGTGTAGAAGATTGGTAGGAGTGGGCCAGTTCTCACTGCGCACCGTGTGCATTGAGCCCAATGTATGTGGTCCACTCTGTCCTCTTACTAAATGACCAAGCTCGTTTCTTTTTTGTGTTTTCTACTTCGTAACTCAGATTTTCCATGTATTTTTCGCTGATTTGTAAGAATTTTCATATTATATCATACGTCCAAAGACGCGTGTGGTGCAGTGGTCGGAGACGCCCTGCAATATTCATGGGATCGACACCCGTGCCTATGGCCCACCAAGCCTTCCATCTCTCCACGGTCAGCAAATTGGTACCAAACTTGTCTGGGAGGATAGCAGCACTGGCTCGATATATCGGTAGGCTACCGCGAGTTATTGTAAAGGCCAGATATGCATTCAATCACCTCTAAACGATGCTTAATGAAGTCGAATGCACGTCGCCTCCCTAAAGGGATTTATCAACGCTCAGAGCTTTATCATTTGTTATATGTCTTCTGTGTTCCTTAGTTCATCTTTCCACGTCCTACCATCTTTTCGAACTCTTGTGTGTGATGAAAAAAGCCACTCCCAACGTACAATTTCATTGTTGTCAATGTCATGTACTGAGTTTGGCAGAAGAGGTCACACAATTTTGATATTGTTCCGTATTCATTCGTATTTAATCCCAGCGGAGTTAGGAATCTGTAATGTTTCCACAGGCTCACTGTTTGGAAGCACATTGGTGGTGGGCGCGGTTGTATGGTTCCATCGAAATGCATTAATGTCTTTCTCACTAGCAGCAGTCTCTGTAGTGGGTGATATCTGATTTCCACTATAGTTAACTGTCTTCTCGTCAGATGAAGCGAACTTCTGTCTTGGTTAATGTGTTAATCGTACATCACTCGATATCGTTAATTGTGCCAGATTCAAGCACCTCTATTCGATTTGGTTCATGGAATCCAAAGGTATTGTGGTTTCAAAGTTGGTCTAGATTACTGGGCGTTTAAAGTGTTTAACTTTCCACTTAGCACCATGCATGTGTTGGATGAGCCCTCGATTAAATTTAATCAGTTTCGCAGAAAGAAAAAACTTAAAATATGCAATCGAAAAGAAAATGCGTTGAAACTGACGCGTAAATGCAATCTACCTTCCATACGCATTTGGTACCACCGCATGCGGTAGCGTATGGGTTTATATCTAGGAGACTTCAAATTTGACATTTCCGATGGGGTCTACATGTTTTCCGCGTTCTAGCGAAATATCATCTGGCGGACGTGCTATGGAACTGTCCGATCTTGCGGTATTTGACGGGCGCCTATTATCAGTGGATGATAGAACAGGCATCATTTATGAAATTACAAATAATGAGGTAGGTTGGGCATCTTCTCTTCGTCAATAGCATTTAGTATCAGGAGAACGCTACTGTAACAGATTTTTTTCAGGCATATCCTTGGGTCTTTCTGAGTGATGGTCCGGGAAATGTAGCGAAAGGATTCAAAGGAGAATGGCTAACTATTAAAGGTGAACACCTTTATGTTGGTGGTTTGGGGAAGGTGAGGTTCCTCTTTCAGGTATAGCTTATGATATTTAGAACGGATCTTACCATTGCTGGTTATGCGACTACTTTTGTGTTTTATGTGCAGCATTTTTTTTTAGGAATGGACTACAACGGAGGGCGAATATGTTAATGATAATCCAATGTGGGTGAAGGTGGTGTCCTGTAATGGGGAAGTGAGGTTTTCATCTTAATCGGAGTGTTACAATTTTTTTATCTATTTTATTGTTTTGGAAATAAGTTCCATATTCAGTACCTAATGTCAGTATAAATTTTTAACACGCGAAGTCGCATGGAAATGAAACCACCTAATACTTCCCAGGACCGAATTTCTGTTAACCTCGTCATTGATTGGTAATTCCCTGTTCTTCAATAATCAAGCGCGAAGTTGGTATTGTAGAATATATTAGCATGCAATAGCTGGCGTTTCGGCGGTTTCGCCTTTTTCAGAGCCATTTTATTCTTTGTTAGTATTCCAGTTGTGTCCAGTGGATAGCAGAGTAAATGTAATGACGGGTCGTGTAGAATCCAAAAGGAATCAATGCTTCAGCGCGTAAAACTATTGAAGCATTGTCGACTAATTCAAAAAATCCAAAAATGAGCCGCAAAAACTGTCCTGTGATTGCGTGTTACCTAGCGTTGATTTTTTGACTTGACCTAGGCGCATTCCTCGCCCATGTATTACTCTGTGCAGTTGCTCTCCACCAATTAACTGGAATACTTACAAAGAATAAAATGACTTTGAAGAATGGGAAATCGCCGTGATGTCAGCTATTGTATGCTAATAAGTTCTATAATATCAACCTCGTATTTGTTCATTGAAGAAAAACAGTGATTCATCTAATGTTTTACAAACAATATGTTTCAATCGTTTCATTAGGTGAACTCTGAAGAGTTCTAAACTCATCAGGAAGATGTAGTGGCAAAATTATTAAGGTGAAGCACGTATCTTGGCGAGACGTCTTCATTAAAGTTCGCAGTGCTGCAGGAATCGAATATCCTGGATATATGATCCACGAAGCTGTACAGTGGTCCAATTTTCATCAAAAGTGGTTCTTCCTTCCAAGAAGAGTATCGAATGAAAAGTATTCAGAAGCGAAGGACGAAACGAGGTAATCTTTGTGAGCACCAACTTGTATCGACTGGCCTATGTTGTTTTATTTCAGAGGCGGTAATTTGCTCATTATTTGCGACGAACCGTTATCCACTTGCGAGGTGGTTCGTGTGGGAGAACTTAACCATCTTGCTCGTGGTTTTTCGGCCTTCCAGTTTATTCCAGGCACTGATGATAATCTCATCATGGCTCTTAAGTCAGAAGAAAAAGATGGCAAAGCAGTGACCAGCTATGTGACTGTCTTCGATATTAACGGCAATGTTATTTTGGAGGATACATCTGTGAATAGTCCTTACAAGTTCGAAGGAATCGCCTTTGTTTAGTTCGCTATGGTGATGCGAATTCTGTTTATCACGTGTACCCTTTTTGTGATTTTTTTCCTCGTAACGATCTGTTGCCCAAAAATTGCCTTGCATTTGTGATCACTTACGTGTCTAATAAATAGTTTATGTCCTTTTTTACTGTGCAGTTTTATACTTAAAAGCATTAAAATGTCTTAAATTTTTGAATTGTATCCGGGTTGATACTTCATACAAGTGAAATCCGTTGTTTCAGAACAGATCAACATTGCACACAAGAAGCTGATCAAAGGTGCTCGTTTAAAGTGGGGAGATGCTTATGAGCGCGCTTTCCAGTTTAATCTTGGGAACGCAGAGTTCAGCTGTGGGGCCAAGCTAGACGACGTTGGTTTCCTGTAGTTTATTGGTTTTAAAATCATGCGTTGAGTAAATTGAGTAGGTAGCTGGTGTTAATGAGAGCAAACGTTTACTTTACGTTTAGGTTTCTTGGCGACATTGGGACCAAAACGAGGCGGTCAATCAATTCGCTGGAGCTCATGCGCTTCTCACTGATGGCTGTACAGAATTGATAGGACGACTCACAGAAGGATTGGATATTCGTTATGAACATGAAGTAGGAAAAGATGCTTTCGTAAAGCGCAATTGTGTACCATACTGAAAATCCATGAGATCATCTTTTGAGGTGACATCAGTTGAATGGGCGCGGACAAAGAAGACCGTGACTGTGACTTGTCAGAATGGAAAACGTTTTGTCGCAGACAAAGTATGCGTGCTATCGTTTTCATATTCTTTGCAAAATCACTACAGAGTATAACATGTCATATTTGAGCTAGATTTTCATGAAAATAATTCATAACGAATCAGTGGAGTTTACGATCGGGCAGAGGTAGGGTGTTCGTGAATATTACGTAACTGGGACTGACTCTAGGCGTAGGACTAACTTTATAGGTACCGGGAGTATCGGTTGCGTAGTATAGAATAATTTAATCATAATAAGGGTGGAAAATATACTGAGTTTCTTCTTAGACAACTTAAATCTGTTGTAAAAGTAATTGTCCAATGGATATTGTTTATGTGACTCAACAGATCTAGTGTTACATTTCTTGTTCAAGAGTACAGTATTCAAGGGATTCATCTAAAAACACCAAATCTCATTTAGGCGTTGCTAGCTCTTCCTCTGGCTGTGTTACAGAAACACAGGGTCAAATTCATCCCAAAACTTCCTGATAAGAAGACGAAAGCAATGAAATTTATTGGAGCCGGACTTATTGAAAAGGTTTAAGCGTGGGCTAGTTTGTTATTTTGTTCAGGTGGATTTTATAGAGCACGAATGTTAATTCAGGTTGCTGTCCGCTTCCCATACTGCTTTTGGAACTCTTTGCTGAAAAAAGATGGGACCCTCGACTACTTCAGTCATGCGCCAAGAAAAAGCAGTGACCGCGGTCTTTTCAATATGTTTTACGATTTCTCACGCAGAGTATGTTCTACTAGCTAAATCTGAACAATCTAGTGAAATGTGGTTCCGTTCAGGATGCGAATGGTGTTGCTCCATTCTACGTCTTAATGTCCTACGTTTGTGGTGATTCGGTGAATGTTGTCAATTTATATAATGACGAGGAAATAACAAAGATGTTCGTGGACACTTTGAGACAGCTGTTCCCAAAAGAGGTACAGATTTCTGCATAATTCCTAATGCTTCCTAATTATGACAGCCACAGAGATAGAGATTTGAGGCTTTAATAGGGTCCGTAACTTTAACACTGTCACGAAGACGCCCAATCTTGGGCTTGTTGCAGAACGGACGACGCCTAATTTTCAGCCTTCATGGACATGCTGGTTTTTTTTGAGAACAAACATCAATTTCCGATAACTGGAAAACTTCGTGGGTTGTAAATATAAATGGGTTGTAGAGAAGACATTGTCCTATCGTTTATGGGTACGAATGATATTTATGGTGCTATTTACTATACGTTACTATGGTCCTTCATACAAACATTATTGTCAGCATTTGGAAGTGTTTTGCAAGTTATAGGTTTCTATTTCAGTATTTTTTATACCCACAAACTCTATAGGACAACTATCATTCACTATTATTTTGTTTTTATTTGCATTATCCGCCATCTCATCTACCGTGCGGATCCCAGCATTTCTTAAATTCGACTCGTTTTTTCTCGCACTCGTCATCCACAATGGTCTTCGACGATTTCCCGTTTTGTATCGATCACTGCTTAGGGATTTCGTCTTCTTCATGAATGTCATAGAATGTTCGACGAGTCAATTCTTTTCTCAACCTTGGTAATAGCCTGTCTGGGGCGTTCCCGCGTGGTTTGGAGGAGTGCGTTAGTTAGGGGTCGAACTATCGGTCTTTTCTCCTGATCGACCGTACCACTAACCAATGTGCTTTCCCCATAGTCCTCAATATCCAAGAAAAGTAGGATGACCTTAAGGTTTTGGCAGCTTTTCCATAGCCAATAAAATGCATAAATTTTTTGTGTATTTCTAAGTGCGGAATAGAGCTTTACACCACCAACGGCCAACGCAAAATCTGCGTTCTGCGATCTATCAATGGGTAACAAGAAGTTCATGAAAATAGTGCTATGTGTTAAATTAAGTCACTACAAAGAAAATGAGACCTATCGGTGTCATACCGACCACTCGCCGAATACTGCACCAGAACCATTGTGACATCCGTAGGTGTCACTCGTCGCGAAAGTGTTAGACCTAGGTGTTTTCGCTATGAGTATTTCTCAAATGGTAGTGCATTTTGTGTTTCAGGGCTCCTTGCGCCCTAGTCGGTGTAGTAAAGAACTTCTACTTTAAAACTTGATTTGTGGAATAGAGATTTTGAAAAATTCTTACAGTTTGCACCCGTTTAGGATATTCCGGATCCAGAAGGAGCTGTTGTAACTCGTTGGGGAAGTGATCCCCATATTGGTATGTCATATAGCTATGTGCGTGTAGGTGGAACTGGCGCACACTATGACGCACTAGCAGCACCGGTGGACGGCAAACTTTATTTCGCTGGAGAGGTGAAACTACAGCATACTCTTATTTGCTCATGTTCGGTAACATGAAATCGTGCTCTAGGAGGCATCTATAGTAGTACAGGTGCCGTATTCGTGTTACTAGTGGTAACGTTCGTGTCTCTTCATTTATGTAATTCCTTAGCTCCGGGCTCACTTAGCTTTACATCCCTCCAAGGCGAGAGAATTGGTACTAGACTTATTGGGAAAGGGGTCAGGTGTAACAACGCAAGTCGCTGCGTTAACCAAATACGCATACGTTCATGTCTTCGATACCTGATGAAATTGCATTCGTGGCACAATCCTCAGGGATCAACCAACGCCGAATACTGCACCTCTAATAGTTTATTTATAGGCTGTATGAAGTTTAAAACTAAACTCCACCACTAGTCCATAAGAAACTGGTGCATAGGTGTAGAGCTTTTATATTCAGTGTACGAATCGGTTCTTTCCCCAGACAATGACCGGTGCCTATATAAGTGGACTTCGTGAGGCAGGACGCATATTCGAGTCCATCCACCACGAGATTTGGATTGATTAGGCTTATGTTGTTTTAGTGGATATCAAAGAATACGTCGTTATCATATTTTATGTTATTTGAACGGCTGTAATAACACCGCCGACTATCAGCGCGGAGCGTCCATATTATGTCGTTCAGAAAACGGATATTATTTTTATATTAGGGATTTTTTTTGTGATAGTTCTTTTACGCCTGTCGTTTTTTTGCTCCTAAACTATTTTCGCTGTTCTTGTCTATACACAATTGTTTTCATTGCATTGTAAGTCCGTTTATTTTTTTTTCCTTCTATGCAGTGATTGAGGAAGACATGTACTTGCAAGCTTCTTTTTCCTAAAGTATTTCCATTTAAGTCTTAAGTCCTGTTTAAAAGCCATCTTTATTACATCACTTTTGATCTCGAGTTAATTGCCTGTACTAATAATTCAGTTCGAAGTCAATTGAACCTGCTTGTGACTGTCATCTCCTCCAAATAAAGCTCATTTGGGTTGTTGCCTGTTTAGTTCGGCAAGAGATCTTTAGGAAGTGCTCATTATTAGTAGATTATTGTTGGAGCGGCTTGTGAAACAATGAGAAAACATGGGCTTTGTATCGTGCATGCTAGTGAGATTTTGGCAAGTGGTATTTAGAAGTATAGGATGTACGTTGGGGTAATCGCTTTAGTAGCCCTTGTTAGGGTGAGTAGATCCTTACTGTTTATGGCCGCATGTGCAATGTTGAACCTTCATATTAGCTCTTTAGAATGTATCGCTCTTATAAAAAGCCTTTAAAGAGTTAGTGAATGTGGTTGAGAAGCTACCAATGCAGAGTAGAGGCCAGTAGAAATGCACCAAAGAATTTCAGCTAAGATCAGTTTCTGTAATTAGGCATAATTGGCCAGTATAGTTGTGATATTCATCTATCCAGTGGGTTTCCGTACAGTTAAATGTCAAGGTGATTTGTTGAAGAAGAAGTGAAGCCCATGAAGTTGGGTTCATTTTCTAGGATGACTTTAGAAGACGGTTTAGTGAAGGATGGTTTGTCGTATCGCCCCGATCTTTATACCATAAGCACCTTGGAAGCGGTGAGATTGCAATGCGTTTATGTAATCCCTCTTTTCTAAAATCACTCTGCATCTTTGTTTCGTAGCGTATTTGACGAGCCGTTGACTTATTCCTAAAAATTTAGGAGACGTGGAAGAATTCCCAGTTTGTAATGAGGGTGTCGAGGAGTTTCAATGGATAGGCGTTTTTGCTGGAGTTCAATCGCTAACGGTTGTTGTCCATCGGTTGTTGCTCATCCGCTTTACGTTTTCGGGCCACCTTATCTTCGACAATTTGGCGTGTAGACCGGTGACTTTAATTTTTGACCGTTGGCGTAGGTAGGAGCTTCGGAACTACTCCCCACTTGCGTGATACACAGCACTCCTACCATCCGTCTTTTTGGCTGGCCGGCCTATAAGGCTGGGTGATCTTTCATCCTGTTTACGTAGCGACCAGGTTTCGGAGACATTCGTTAAGGCAGGAAGAATCGTGGAGTGGAGATAATCATCGAGTCGGATGTTTTTGTTCTACTCACCACATTCTCGATGTTCTTGAAAGCTTCCCAAGCCGCTCGTTTCCTTCTGCTCAGCTCTAGAGTCGTTAATTATACTGATTTCCTGATCCAGATACACGTAACTGGAAAATTCGGAGATGCACGTTCCAATTATCGTGAATAGGACTTGCAAAACAAATCCGTTCTTCATGAATATCGCTTTTGTGAGACTTAGTCTAAGACAATCGTTCCACAGGCTTTATCGAAGTCGACAAGCATTCGATCTGCTTGGGTAATGTTTTGTGTTATAAAAACGGTGTAATCAGCAAAGCAAAGATCATCTAATTGCATACCATCAATTCTCACCCCCATTCTCACCCCCCATTCTAATGTTCGCATGACGTTCTGGAGTGTGGCAGTAAATAATTTTGGCGTGATGGTATCGCCTTGCCTAACTCCTCTTTTGACGTCAATGTTAATATCGTTGTATAATGGTGATATCTTGGTTGTGAAATTTTTGTACAGCTCACGAAGAATCTTTATGTACAGAGTAGAGACTCCACGCCAATCAAGGGTTTCCATGACTGCTTCTATCTCATTTGAGTCAAAGGCCTTCAAATCGATGAAAGTGAGACAGAGCGGTGTTTTGTAGTCTGGAGATACTTCAATGAGTCTTGTTATCGCGTGGATGTGGTCCATCGTACTAAATTCTTTTCGAAACCCTACTTGCTCCCATGGCTGTCCTTCGCCAAGTGTTCTGTCAATTCTGTTTAGGATGACTCGAATGACAAGTTTGTAGACAACAGACAGCCAGCAGATTGGGCGGTAGTCGCCGATATCATGTAGATCACCCTTCTTGAACAATGGTACGGTCATGCTGGTCTTCCTCTGAGTAGAGACCGTGCATTCAGACAGGTAACGTGTGAAGAGTGGAGCCAGTGTGTTCAGGAGGATGGTGGAAGGTTCCTCAGGTTTTCAAATCTAATCGTAACGGGACTTCGCGCTGTTCGGTTTTTCACTGACAAATTAGCATGTCGGATTACAGAAAGGAGAACCGGACTATCAAGGACTCAGATGCAAGTGTGCATGCGTTGTAGGTACACATCATCTTAGCATCTTGGCCGTTTGCGATTTAGGCAGTTTAGAATGATCCTGAGATTCTTTTCCGTATGTGGTCCTACCCAACGACGCCGCATCCGTGTCTCTGGGTCAGGGGAATCAGGCTCACTTATTTTACTGTTCTTAGCGTTGTATCCGACGTAAAGTTTGTCGACCTCTAGAAATTTTAGAGTTTACGGAATTTTGACAGCTTTGCCTTTCTTCTTCTTCTTCTTCTTCTAACACAGTAATCATCTTATTCTAATAGAACTAATAAATGATAGTTTTCTGAAGCGAAAAGGTCGTCGTCTTTTTTCCCCTTCTTCTTATGGGCTTGGATTTCATAATGCAAAGAGAGTGAATAGGTGAGATTTTATCTATTGGGGCATGTAGTGCAGACGAATACATCCTCGATGTTTGCGACTTCAACGTTAAAATGTTGGAACATCGTTTCATATTTATTGAAAAGGGGAATTTTAAACTAGTTTAAAGAAAAAAAATTATTCTAGAAAAAATTTTGCGTGCTCTGAGTTTGGAGCCGTCTCTCAAGTCTGTCGAGTTTCTGTCGTGCTATCACCTCCTTCAGTCACACTTTGTCTAAACTCTTGTTTGCTGCATACCCTTTCTTTATTGCAGGGTACCAGGTGAAAAACACCGTAGGGTTGTTAAGATGTGAGTAAAACTCATACCCTCAATACGGTTTCGAACCCGTGATTGCCCTTACCGTGAAACCACGTGGTGTCAAACACCAAGCGTGATCTTTTCTTTGCATTTCTCTCGGTCTTATATTTACTCCATGGGTGTTTCCTTAGCAAAGAAGTAAAAATCCTTAAATGTCTGATCGTCAAAAGTTTGTCGGTGGTGGTCGAAAACCATTCCTGTCGTCAGTGTACTGAAGACAAACGAGTTCAACGTTTAAGCTTTGTAAGAAGTTATTCTGTCACAAGTTTAACATAACTTCCCCGAACGATCTTAGTATGATTCTTTTTTACAAAGTGAACAAGTGAACGAACAAAGTGTGAAGGTAACAAGGTAATTTCTATAACAAAATCCTGTTAGGTTGTTAGGTTATCAGTGAAGAAAACTGGAAAGGATGAAGCGACTGTAAAATCTGTTATCACCATTCGATTTGTTTGCCGGTCCTGTCCATGGATGAGCGAAGTTTGGAAGCCATCGAAATAACTTCACAGAAATGTACCTCAATTGCAGATTTACACTTACGGTTCTCTGCTGTGGCTTGTCTTATTGATAGGTGTGGTGATTAGCAGCCTGCGTGTAAGTCGAAGTTCTTTTTTAAAATACTTAATGATAGCAGAAATGACAAAATAAAAAAGATAAAGCTCTCGGCGTTGATAAATCCCTGAGGGATGCGCCATGCATACGACTTCATTAAGTATCGTTGTAGGTGATTGAATGCATATCTGGCCTTTACAATGACCTACCGATGCGATGGTCTACCGATTTATTGAGCCAGTGCTGCTATCCTTCTAGACAAGTCTGGTACCAATTTGCCGACCCCGGAGGGATGGAAGGCTTGGTGAGCCATGGGCCCGAGGATCGATTCCACGTGTGTAGAGCTCTCGGCGCCTCCAACCAGAATTGATAGCAGTTTTAATTAAAACATCATAGGTGTGACTAAGCTGTTTGTCACGTCACACGTTCAAATCGTCTTCCAACCAACTGAGACCAGTTGATGGTGACCACATATGTGAAGCCGAAACCTTTTATGTGACAGAAACAAAGGTATACAACACGGTAACGGATACCAGTGCTAAGACAGAGTATAGCAGGAAGAGTCTGATTGCCATTCACATACTCGAGTTGCACTTTTACGTCGTCGTTGAGAGGGAGGATCGGAGAAGGCGGAACCATCTTGCTGGAGCTCTCCAGAAATGCTCTCCATGAAGACGTCCGCATTTAC